TCTACATTAAAATGTTATATTTAAACTTAACATTTATGCACAATCTGTCTATGAATTTTGTTGATAGTGATTTAATTTGATTGTTAATAGCCAGCATGTCTTTTTATTTGATTGAATTTATTAAATAAGAACCTGATATAAGAGGACACAGATATGACAATTACTTTTATAATACTAATAAGCCAACATCTCTGGCTTTTTTTTTTTTGCTCAAAGTTATTTCAGGGTTTTGATCTCTCAACTGAGAGAACACATCCTGTTTATTATATTATAATGAATATTTAATATTACATTTAAACTTTGACTATAGCCTAGACATGTTGCATATTAATTGTACAATTTATGAACCTCAAAGCTTATGTTTGTGTATTTTCTATTATTCCATAATGATGTTATATTTGAGGGCATTTGTAGTGTACGTAGGTATAGGGCCTAAACATAACCTCAAGCCCAGGGGCTCCCGCCCCCCTAAGTCCTGCCCTGAGTGTAATTCAAGTAAAGTGTACATAATGGGACCGTGTGGTTGTTATTACATTTCCTGAACATTTTATGTTTGCATAAAATGTAGCACATGTTTCTGGCCAAAACCGAGCCTATAGAATCTGCATGTCTGTTTGGGTATTTTGCACGAAACACTTTCACAGTGCCATATCCATATGATGTCCGCTAAATAAAGAGATTACACTCATAAGATTATCATTATGTGTAAAGCATATTGTGGAGCATAATTAAAGACAATGATGTGAGCTTGTGTGTGTTTTTACAGGAAAGAAATTTGAGAACACTGAGATGTTTGGACAGTACCCTCTGCAGGTGAACGGCTTCAAAGATCTGCACGAGTGTTTAGAGGCAGCCATGATAGAGGGAGAAATCGAGTCTTTGCATTCTGCCGAGAACTCTGCCAAATCAGGGCAAGAGGTTTGTAGAGAGGTTGTCTCTCTCTCTCTTTTTTTTTTTTCTATCCCAGTGCACCACAATATGCTCAAACATTTTAAACTGTTCCCTTTTCTAAGATATTCCTTCTGTTTGCCGTCCAATCACAATCTTTGAGGTGCAAGAAAAAAAAAAACATGACCTCTGACCGAGATGTTACATAATGGCTTTTCAGTCATCAGTGCCGCCCTGGGCAGATCCCTTTGCAGCTGCTTCCTGCTAATTACTTCAGCTGAGTGCAAGTAAAGAAGGAGATTCTTTGGTGTACATTATTCTCAGCACCAACAGGCTGGGATGTTAATGAAAGCCCAGCACACCGTGTCTCTCTCAGGGCTCAGAATATGATCAGGTCACCAGTGTTCATTCCAGTGTCCATTCCAGCATGGGAGGCGGCGTTGGCATGGCTCACATGGATGGGCTTTTCATGGAGCATGCTGGAGTTCAAATACTGCTAAACACCGATTTCTGGAAAATAAAATGTTTTGAAATGTTTTTTTTAAGGCAAGAAATTGTAGATTTGGAGAAAACTGTGAAAATTTGTATCAAATCAATCAAATTCATTTAAAGACTTTAAAGACATTTTCTGCCTTTCATTGTTGACATGTATAAGCAAATAAGACATTTGGCTTTAGTGTTATATGCTAATTTTTAGTGTGTTTTTTTTCCAGCACTGGTTCACAGAACTCCCACCGGTTTTGACCTTTGAACTGTCTAGGTTCGAGTTTAATCAAACCTTAGGCCGACCTGAGAAGATTCACAACAAGCTAGAGTTTCCCTCCATGCTGTACATGGACAGGTTAGTTCTATCTGTTTTTAATATTATTTATTAATTTTCATACTTTTAAGATTTTTTTATATGTATGTAAATGTTTTTAAAATTACTTTTGTCTGTGTGTTTTTGAATGTTTTGTAAAATGTGGGAAAATCTCATTGTCTCGCATCATTCCCCAGTTCTAATCCAACCAACATCAATGGTGTCATTGTAATATTTGCTTAATTGTTTTTTATCTTGCTTTTATTTGCTTACTGAGTTGTGGTTGGCTTTTTCATTCTTGTATGTATTCTGTTTTGTTTTGTTTTGTTTTGGCTGTTTTTGAGATCACTGTTACTTTTCTAAAACATTTTTCTCAACATTTAACTGTTTTGTTTTTTTTGTCTTTGAAATTTCTGGCAGTTTTCTAACCTGGTCTGAGTCACTTTGAGAGTCCAGAATTAAGAGCTCCAACCCATTTTCCATGTCCAAATTGAACAGAGTAAAAAGTCTCTGCTTGTGCCTTGACTTTAAAGTGGACTCAAACTTTTTTTTTTCTTCCTTTTTCCAAGTTGTTTCTTGATGCTTCATCAAATAATAAGGATCCTGTGTATGCAACACAAAATACTTCCAATATTCAGTGAAACTGCATGTTGTGCGGTTGATTCCAGGTACATGGACAGGAACAGAGACATCACACGGATAAAACGAGAGGAGATCAGAAGACTAAAGGAGCACCTGACCGTTCTCCAGCAGCGACTTGAGAGGTTTGTTAACTCTATTTAGCCTCCGCCCTGATCTAGAGGTAACTTGCTGTTAACTTGCATAGCAGGAAAATTTCAGCTTTCAAGATGAAAGCAGCTTTTAGATTGTTAATGGAAAGATGAAAGTCACATGCTGAGTTTTGGCTGTAATTTCCTGAGTAAGAGGATACTGACTGACTGACTTTCTGTTTCATATTTCTGCTTTTGGTGATAGTAAACTAACCTCTTCTCATTTGAGATCCGTTTTTCTTAAAATTCAGGTATCTGAGCTATGGCTCAGGGCCCAAGCGGTTTCCTCTGGCCGATGTTCTTCAGTATGCCATGGAGTTTGCGTCCAGCAAGCCTGTGTGCACGTCGCCTTTGGAGGACGTTGATACAACAGCACTACCTGGTGGCACGACTGCACAGCTGCCACCTCCAGCAAGGCAAGTTTTTTTCACCTGTTCAAAGACTGAAAATTTATTTTGAATAGCTCGTTTTTTTTTTTTTTTTTCCTCTAATACATTTATGAGATATTAAAGTGTTTTCTGCATGGACTTCAGCACAGGGGAGCAGCCGGATACATCTGTCCCAGCCGAGGGCTCCGGCTCTGGTTCACAGGCCCAGCAACAGCAACGGGTTTCGATCCATAAACCGTTCACTCAGTCTCGTGTGCCCCCAGATCTACCCATGCACCCCGCCCCACGGCACATCACAGAGGAGGAGCTGCGGGTGCTGGAGGGCTGTCTGCACCGCTGGAGGAGCGAGGTGGAGAACGACACCAGGGGTACAAACACGCATGCATGCAAACATATGCTTGTACTGCTTTGGGCTTTGTACATTTATATTTCTGTAAATGTGTGGTAATGTTTCTGTCTGGTGTGTGTCAGATCTGCAGGCCAGTATATCTAGAATCCACAGAACCATCGAGCTTATGTATTCTGACAAGTCCATGATGCAGGTGAGAAGTTTTTTGAGATCTCTGATAGTTTTCTAACCATCTCGGAAATGACCCCAGAATGAGTTCATCTTGTTCATGATGATGCATTTCAGGTGCCGTACCGGCTGCATGCTGTTTTGGTCCACGAAGGTCAGGCTAACGCAGGTCACTACTGGGCATACATCTTCGACCCACATCAACAGCAATGGATGAAATACAATGACATTTCGGTGACAAAGTCATCCTGGGAGGAGCTGGTGCGAGACTCATTCGGTGGATATCGCAATGCCAGCGCATACTGCCTCATGTACATTGATGATAAAAAGCCCTTCCTTATTGAAGGTAACCTAATCTGCAAATGCAAGTTTCCACATTAATTAGTCTTTTATGAGTTATCAATACAGGTAATGAGCCGAGTAGTGAAATCTAAAAGCTTCTATTTTCCATTCAAAAATAAAATGGAATTGGTGATCAATTTAAATAAATTACTTTTCAAATTGCAAAATAAATAATATGTTTAAAACAGTGCATTTAATTAATCAATTAGTTAATTAATTATGATTAATTATTAATGTGTTATTTTGTTGTTGCAAAAATGATTTAAAATGTTTTAAGTGGTTTTATTTGTCAGTTTGCAAAATTGTCTCATTTAACTATATTTTGAACAGCTTTAAAGTGTGTGTATTTCTTTGACAAATTAAAAAATTATTTATTTACATTTTTTAATTAATAAATTGACACTCCAATTCCTCCAGAATTTGTTTATTTATCTGTATTTTTATCTGTATTTATCTGTATCTTTAAAGATTTGCTAAATATGATGACAACCTCCTGTTCAGGGTGTTTTCAAAGAAGTAGTGTTTTTTTTTTTTTGTAATTAAAGTTTTCTGTAAGGTGTAGGGATCAGTTTCAAACTGTCATAATCATAATTGGCTTTATTTTAAAAAATAGCAGGTAAGATGTGTTCTCATTTAGATCCATGTGTGTGTGAAATGGCTCTGTGCTTCTGTGTGTCTCAGAGGAGTTTGATAAAGAGACAGGGCAGATGCTCAGCGGCTTGGACAAGCTCCCTCCTGATCTAAAGGAGTATGTGGAGGCAGATAACAAGCTCTTTGTGAGAGAGATGGAGGAGTGGGACGCTCTTCAAGCGCGCAAACTCCAGCAGGAGAAACTGGCTCTGGCCGCCGCCAGTGTGGCCGCCCAACCTATGAGCACTGAACCCTGCCCTCCAGACAACACAGGTGAACCTTTCACATGTCTAAATCTGTGGCCATACCATCTGAAACAACTGTCCTTAACTCATGGGAACTCATTCTCAGCTCCCTCAACAGCCTCACAGCATGACCTAGAGTACATGGAGCAGCAGTCGCCCACCGGAGACTCCAAACACCTGCAGGAAGACACAGAGAGAGCCATCAGCAAAGCTGCAGCTGAGCATGATGAGAAGAGTCCAGAGGCCCTGCTCAACACAGTAAGACATGCATAAACACATGATGAACAAGGTCTGAGTCCTTCAGACGGTTCTGGAGACAAAAACACTCTTTAAAGGGTGCGTTTAGGAAGTTCTGTAGTTTGATGTAGATGTCTTAGAAACACACCGGACTTTGGGTATTTGGTTCTGATCAATCAGATATCCAAAAAAAATGTATCCATGTTGTGTTACATTTGCGCTTTGCTTCATCCATCAGAATAATGTGCTTTTTTTTTTTTTTTTTTTTACAAATAATTATGCAGTTATTTTCTCATTATGCAAATAAGGTTCTTCATTCGTTATATTACTCATTATCCACTGTAGATAGAGAAGTGTGTGTTGCTTTAGCTGATGAGGGTCTGTGGGTTTTGCTAATGCTTAAGATTGGATTGACACCAGTATTGATACTGATGAAATAAAACTAGTGCTGTCAATATATCATTTAATGTCCGTGTCCAAATTTGTAATATTTTTTTTGTAGGTCATACACACGCATAACATTTTTTAAGGAGAAAACTAAATTGTAATGTAGAGTTTTGCAACTCGTTTGGAATTCATCATTAATTATAATAAAATATGTTCATTAAAATTTTAATTAAATATATTTAATAGTGTTTTTTTTTGGTGGAACAGACTGAGTTCTGATTAATTTGTGTGGGGTTTGGCAATTTGTAATTCATCAATAATTATAATTTAAATGTTATTTAAAACTATAATTAAAATATTTTTTAGATGAAACATTCCGTTTTAAGGAGAGAAAATGGTAATTTGTAAAATAATTTGTATGTGTTGTGTTCGGCATGTCCATTTGTAATTCATCAATAATTATATTTAAAATATATTAATTATAAGAGTACATGGACATTCTACTCCCCACGTACTTTCTCCTATCCCAGTATAATTTAAAAATACAACTATAAGTGATTCATAAACTGTCTCGGAGGTTGCATTTATCATCCGTCATAGAGCTTGTCTCATTTCAGAAAAGTAAAAATGAGAGCAGCAATAGTTTGATTTCCCTGAAAAAGCAAAAAGGTTTGGGGAGCGGAGCTATTTGTTTGTTCAGCCAATCAGAAACATCCCAACTGAAACTGGTGATGCTGGTGGCAGATAACACTTTACACACCAGCTTTAAAGTACCAAATCTGGTTCATAACAAACCAAGCCAGTTTGTATCTATGATCTCATTGAGATAATAATAATGGTAATAATAATAATAATGAATGAATAAATAAAAAGATTAACTGGATTTGTTTACCCACATGGACATGCTGTCTCAGTTCTTCTAGCCCGCTTTCTCTTTCGGCAAGCTTTTTTTTTTTCTCTCTTTCTGTCTCTCTTAGTGTCAGTCATCACATCCCGACAGCGAGGTGACCTCTGACCCCTGTCCTCCCCTTGACCCTGAGCAGGACGACTCCGCCTCCTCTCCGCCCGCACCTCAGCGGGTGGTGGAGGTGGCCATTCCTAATGTAGGAACCTTTGTCATTCAGTCGAAGGAGGGAGGTTATGATGATGAGGTAGAGTCCCAGAAGGCGTTCGGTCATGAGCGTGCAGCCCTAAATCTCCCAGCATCCCTTTCACAACCTGCCAAACATGCCAAACCCATTTCAGATTAACATTATATGCAAGTTACTCCCAGTGGACTCCCAAACTACTAACATTGCCCCCGGTAAAACGTTACAAAATAGGAAACGTTCTGTTTTGCCTGACTTTTTTTTACCTTCATAAAGCATGTAGCGCAAGCTTCAGATCATAGTGTTGTTTATTTTCACTTTAATTTACCATCTACACAGCTCACTATGGTGTTCATTACTTATTTAAAGAAGCAAAAGACACATTAACCTGCATGATGATCCTGTTTTGAATGTTTAATCATCTTTAATGCTGTGGGCATGACGTCGGATTAGCTTTTCTGTTCAAAGCTAATTCGTTTACTTCAATGGGTTGGCTTGAGTTCATTCGCTGGTGGCTGAGCTGTGGTGTGATTGGCATGCGGACTGGCCAGTGAGAGTTTTGGAGGCGTGGCCGGTGTAGTAATATCCTTCCCTCCTTGGGCAGGCGATGATGACCCCAAACATGCAGGGTGTCATAATGGCCATTGGCAAATCCAGGAGTGTTTATGACAAGTGTGGGCCTGAAGCAGCGTTCTTTAAGGTACATGACCTGCTGCATGCCACACCCCCTGTGCATCACATTAGCTCTTTGACCACACCTCCTCCCCCTGAGCATCTCATTATCTCTGTGAGCTCACTATTTACACTGCAGGCTATGAAAACCCTCTGCATCCTGTTTTATTATGCAGTTAATGTTCTTTATTCATTATATTATTCATTATCCACTGTAAATAGAGAAGTATATTATAAGTTTTGTTGACACCTAAGATTGGATCGAAATCAGCCTCCAGCGATTTGGTATCAATAGTGATGAAACTAAATTAGTGCTGTCAATATAAAATTCAATGTCAGTAATTCGTATTTATTTATTTGTTTATTGTAGGTGATAGCTACAGTTAAATAGATTCAGTTCTATTTAAAGAGAAAAACTAAATATTAATTTGTAAAATAATTTCTATATTTTGGGTTTGACAGTTCATTTGTAAATCATCAATTATAATGTTATTTAAAAATAGAATGAAATTATATTTAATGTATTTTTTGTAGATGAAACAGAGTAAGCAAAGTAGTAATTTGTAAAATAATTTGTATGTGTTGGGTTTGGCAATTCATTTGTAATTAACCAATATCAGGTATTGAAACTTTTCAAAGTGATGATGTTGAGGTACCGCAGTTTTTTTTTAATCGCTGTCACCATCTGCTGACAAAAAAATGTAATTGCTGCTGTGTATTATAAAGGGTTTTTGTTTTATAAAATAGCATTGGTTTTGGTATCTTAGGCTGAGCAGTATTGTGTACTTCACACAACATGGCAAAAAACGTCGAGTACTAATTAACTTTAAAAATGACTCCATTAAATCATTTAAAACAGCAAGTGGTAAGTGAATATTGTCAATTGTCTGATAGACTTTTTAACATTCTGTCAAGTGTCTACAGGTGAAAAATAGCCTTTTGGCTAATTGTGGCACATTTTAATGTGCGTTTCCCATGTTAACAAATAAACTTAAACTTAATTGTTTCATTGGCAGATCTCTATAGGCCTCTGTTTTGTGCCTTCACTTGTTGTCCAGATGTGCATTTTTACTCTGCACGCAGGCTGTTATTTCTACAACTAAAGATGTTTGAGTCACATCACATACATTACAATCTCATGCAACAAATCAGTCATTACTTTTTTGTATGTTCTGTTGTAGATGATTTGAAAAATAATGTGTTTTTTGAACATTAAAGCATGTCAACATATTCTGTTACACCAAATACACAAACGAATGATCTTTAAAAAAGCATCATATGACCCCTTTAAATTATTTTCTTGCTCATTTGTATTTTTAAGTCCTTCTAAATAAACACATCCATCTCTGCATATCTCTAACTCTCTTTCTTTCCCACTGTCTCTCGACTCCTTTCTATCTCTAACAGGCAATGAAAGTAGAGTACACTCGCTTACTGAGGTTTGCTCAGGAGGACACGCCCCCTGAGAGAGACTACCGACTGCAGCATGTCATTGTTTACTTCATTCACAACCAGGCACCCAAAAAGATTGTGGAGAGAACTCTGCTCATGCAGTTTGCCGACAGAAACCTTGGCTTTGATGAGAGGTATGAGTCATATGAATCTTTATTTTATTTTATTTATTTATTCTTTTATTTATTTATTTTTTAATAAAATGTAATTAATTTTATATTTTTGTTATTTTATTTCATTTATTTCTACAAACTGCAAAGCAGCTCTCTAAAAAGCAAGTGCTAAATAAAATTGCTGCTTTTGAGTCTGTTTTTTTTTAAATATTCTATTAATATTTAATTTAAATAAATTAAATTTTTTATTTTCATCAAGTTTTTACTTGATTCTACATCAGATCATAAGGATTCTATACAACACAAAACTACACACTTGTATGGATGTCATTACATATTATAATGCCCAGCTGCATTTATTTTACAGGGTTCCCAGTAGAAAGCCTGGAAACATTAGGCAGTTTTAAAATGGGATTTATAGGCCTGTAAAACTAATGGAAATTTTAAAAAAAAATTTCACATTAATAATAAAAAAAAAAAAAATCCATTCTTTTTTTCTAGTTATGCTCCACTCTAAAATGTTTCGGCAGCTAGAAAGTTTTAAAAATACAGTAAAACTACTTTAAAAATCATGGAAATTAATTGGTCAAAAGCTGTGGGAAACTTGATTTATAACAAATGTATACTAATATTTTGTGCAAAAAAAAAAAAAAAATCTGATTTTTTCCCCAAATTATTATTATTTTTTTGAAGAAGAAGCTGAAGTGTCCAAATACTTTTTGGGACCACTGCATTTTTTAACAAGCTTTCCAACAAGTTTGGTTCGGAAATACTCGAAACTTGACTTATGAATGGCGTTTGTATTATACAGTTAGTTGAGCATCAAATTGACAAATATGAAAAGCAAGCATTAGCCACACACAATGCTATAGCTTGACAGGACCGCCTCACTGATAACTGATTGATTTTAGAAGGAGTGAACACTCTTCCTGATTTTAGAAGGAGTGAACACTCTTCCAAAGGCCAGTTCCGTCTCGAGCCTCCCAGACTGACACAGACAGTGATTATCAGCTCCTGTCTGCTTGCCCGAAAGGCTTTTGTCTCGCTACACAGTCTCGTGTGTCTCCAGAGCAGACTGCACACTCCAGTGTGGAGCATGATCCATATTCATAAGCAAATTGATTTCTTTCTCTTCTATTTTGAGCGAGGTAATTAGATTGATGTGAGCGCGGCCCCAGATGCGACGCTCTCTTTCCATTCTGTTTTGGGTAATAAAGTATGATTCATGGCCAGAGGACGCAGCTCGTTCCTGAGAGCATCTCATGAGTCACACCTGTGCTCTAATGTGGCGGCCCTGTTCTTCCCTGCAGGTGTAAGAGCATCATGAAGGTGGCACGTGCTAAACTGGAGCTCATTAAGCCTGACGAGGTGAACATGGAGGAATACGAGGTGAGCAGAGTGTTTCTTATTCAGGTTTGGCCGCTGTTTGAAATTGAATTGTGAATAAGTCCGTTTCTGAATTACTGCGGTTGGAAACAGGATGCAGATTCGTCATTTGAATGATGTATTTGGGTTTTGTCACAAAACTAAAAGACTTTTGTCTCTGTTGATTTTCTTTAAAATCGCAATTTAGTGAGTTCATCTTCCTGTTGTTCCAATTAAAATTCAGCTTCCAGTGGGGCATGGCCTTTTCAATTAAAATTAATTATTATGAAAAAAACAAAATATAATAATATATAAGAAAACCATACAAGGAGGTATCTAAAAAATAATAAATATATAATATAAAAAATATACAGTATAATTAAAAGTATGTGTGTAGATGGATCGATAAATAGGTCTCCCTTTTCTTTTATTATTCCTGATATAATCAATATTGGCTCCTTTAGCAGGATATTGTAATTATTTCAGCAAAAGCTAAGACTTGGATTTCCTAAAATGCTTTACAACAGGGTTGGTCAAATCATGGGATGTTGAGATCAAGGAAGCAGTTTGCATGTTCTAATTGCTTTATTTTTAATTGTATTTTGTCTTTTTGAAATAATCTAATGCCTACTTTTTTTTGCACAGATGTGGCATCAGGATTACAGGAAATTCCGTGGCACGACAGTGTTTCTGTTAATCGGCCTGGAATTATTCCTAAAGAAAAGGTGAAGCTTTTGTTTTTTTGTTCATTCGAAGTGGACATGAAAACAATGGAAACAAATGAAATGGAGTAAACAGCCCTTACCAGAGTCCTTTTCTATAATATCACCACTAGATGGCAGCATGTTCTGTTTGATCAATTCTAGGTTGCCACAGTTATTGCTTCAAGAAACATTTATCATGCAGCCTTTTACTAATTTCCTTATATTTTATTAGGATTGCAAATTTATCTTTTATATGTATATATTCTAGTTAAAAAGCCATATTAATATGCTCTTTTCATTTATTATATTGCAGTTACGTGGAAGCATTGATGTACCTGATCTTCGCCTACCAGTACAACAAAGAGCTCCTGGCAAAAGGGCCATACAGAGGACACGATGAGGAGCTGATCGCCCATTACCGCAGAGAGTGCCTGCTAGTGAGTGAATCAACCACCTCCTATTAACTCGGATCTACGACCAGCTCAAACTGAGCTCCTAACAGCTCTCAGACCAGTATTATTCATGCCAATGCACACACTTTCCTGTAAACCGTGTTTCTAACACCAATGACTGGAACAAATCTGGTTAGCATTTCAGTACAGAGTGCATTAAGGGCAATAGTTTGCATATATGTGCTTTTGCAAGTACAATTATGAACATTTTATCTGTCAAGTCTAAAATGCTGTTTTCATTTCCGGTCAAAGTTTCGCTTGGGGGGGAAGGGGCGTTTTTCATACTTTTATGGCATTTGGATTCACTTTAGGTTTAAAATCTGAAAGCTGAAGCTTCTATTTGTTGCTGTTGTAAATCAACTGTAATAAACATTTGCTTTGACTTTGCAATTCACTGCTGTTCTCTCCATCTATGTACCCGGTGACCCCCACACAGCCATTGTGCTCGTAATATAATCATCAGTCCTGGAATAGGAAGCATACTGCGCTCAGTGCGTAAACACATTAGCGGGAAGCACGTCGTCCTTGTTTCACTTTTTGCGAGCACTGCAGAGGACTTGACTTCATCTCAAGCTGTGCTGTTTAACCTCTGCTCGCTTTAATTGAAAATACTGCTAACATTGACATAGCTAATGTGCTATGTTTTTTCTTTTGCGTATTCCAGCTAGTCGCTCATTCCAGTTGAGTGGCGAAAGGGGTTAGAGTGTTTACCTGCCGCATCTGAAGTTTTAGAGTGTTTAATTGCATAGCAAAGAATGTCAGATTTTTATGTCAATGAAAACAGTCTCGAATGTGGAGGATGTTTCGTCAAAGGGACGAGTGTTTACTGTTTTTTTTTTTTATGCATTGATTTTTGTGGGCTCTTTTTGTGTCTCACAGAAGTTGAACGAACACGCGACTGTCCTCTTTGAGACAGGCGAGGAGACTGAAGTGAATGCGGGTCTGAACATCATGAATGAGCTGGTGGTGGCCTGTATTCCACTGCTGCTGGTGGATGAGATGGAGGAGAAAGACATGGTGGCTGTCGAAGACATGAGGAACCGATGGTGCTCGTACCTGGGCCAGGAAATGGAGCGTAAGTCTTAGGAGAGGGAATTTTAGTTATATTCTCTGGGTCACGATCAAATCGATTCTCGATTTAGAAATCAAATTTCGATTCAGTATATTAAAACTAAAATTCTGAAAGTTTTCTAGATGATAGTGTTCGATAGTGTCCTTATATGAATGCGTCATCTTTTGTCAAATTCTTATATTTAATTGGTACATAGAGTTATAATAATAATAGACTATAGGGCTGTTACCAATCAAATGAAATCAGTATCGAAATAAGACATATTTGGTACAGAAGCGGCATTTAGATTTATTTGCACAGACTTTAATGCACCTCAAAGGTGGCATAAATGCATTTACGCTGCACTTGCAATTGCATAAACCATACTATAAGATTGTTTTAAAAATAGTTTTTTCAATACAATGAAATGATTTTAAAAATGATATACTTTAAATATGAAACTAAAACTGACAGTAGGTGGCGGCAAGTCCTTGTCTTAATGAGCAAGTCATTGAATCATTCATTCAAACCATTCATTCAAAACAGCAGATTCATTAAGAAACCAAGCCAGTCACAGGCTACGTCTGAAATCGCATACTTCCTTACCATCGTAAGCATAAAACAGAATGTGAAAGAGTACTACTGTGGGTATGGAAAAGAATCGCATTTTGTTCCTTTGCAGCCTGAAATGAAAACGGACACAGTTTTTGTTTTATCCAGCTGTATTTACTTACTGCAACTTATAACATCCAAGTGAAAGATATAACACCAACATATTAGAATTTTTTTTTTAAAAAACAGAATCACTGAGTTGGAAAAAGGATCACCCCCTTGTGGCAGTATTTTGTTGAACCACCTTTTTCTTTAATTACAGCCTTTAGTCTGTTGGCATATGTCTCTACTAACTTTGCACATCTAGACTTTGCAATATTTGTCCACTCTTCTTTGCAGAACTTCTTAAGTTCAGTTATTTTGATTGTGAGCGTTTGTGGACTGCAGTCTTCAAGTCATTCCACAGATTTTCATTGGAGTTTTTATTCTGGGCTCTGACTAGGCCAGGGGTAGGCAAGTTCTGTCCTAGAGAGCCGCAGTCCTGCAGAGTTCAGCTCCAACCCTAATCAAACACACCTGAACAAGCTAATCAATGTCTTCAGGATTACTAAGGCTATAGGCAGGTGAGTTTTGTTTTCAGGTTTGGAGCTGAACTCTGCAGGACTGCGGCTCTCTAGGACCGAACTTGCCTACCCCTGGACTAGCACATGCAAGGACATTCACCTTTTTCTCATTCAACCACTGTGTGCTCAGTTTTGCTGTGTGTGATTTGGGTCATTGTCATGTTGGAAGGTAAACCTTCTTCCCATTGACAACTTTCTGGCAGAGGGCAGCAGATGTTCCTCAAGAATTTGACAGTATTTTGCCCCATCCATTTTTCTTTTCACCCTGACAAGTGCTCCAGTCCCTGCTGCAGAGAAACACCCCAGAACAGGATATTACCACCTCCATGCTTTACTGTAGGAATGCTGTTATTTGGAAGTGGGAAAAAATAAGTGCCGGTACCCAGTTTTGGAGTTCCCGTCCCCATTTGGAGATCTCCAGGCTGCAGTTATACCCTTCTCAGCTATTAGAGTAACGCTGGTTCGACAGTGGAAGCGCAGCATTGGCCCCGCCTGGCTCAAATTTTAGTCTCATCTGCCTCAGAATCTTCAAGGTGTGTTTTGGCAAAGCTCAGTCGTGACTGCTTGTGGCCTTTCTTGAGGAGTGGCTTTTTTCTTGCAACCCTCCCATACAAGACACATTTGTGGAGAATTTGTGATATTGTTAGTACATGCACACAATGACCACTCTTTGTCATAAATTCCTGCAGCTTCTTTTCTATACCCACTGTATGTCTGAATTCACAGTATTCATAAAAGAGTAGGCAACCCTCCTACCCGGATGACTTACCACTTCCACCGAGATTCAGTAGTGAGCATTCAATGGACACTTTACTATCCCATGAGGCCACGGGAGAAGATTTTCTGAATAGCAGTGCAGCAACATAACTGACTATAGTAGGTCACATGACAATGACAACATGACGAACGTAGTACTTTCAAACTATATAGTACTTTATTTTAACAGTTACAAAGTAATTACTTATTCAGAAGAAGTACCTACTCCGAGAGTATGCGATTTCAGTCACAGCCACTTTATGAATCACAAAAAAATCATTCACAGATTTATTCAGGAATTAAATACCGTTGCGTGTTGCAACAGTTCTGCTGTGGCTTTGATTGGAATGGGCTACATCACGTTTTTGTTTGTTTTTTGTGAGTGAGTGACACATTGTGAGGTGTGTACTTTCTGAACTTTCCGGGTGCTGCACTGCTCTCGCAATTTACTTCCACCTTCTTTGTTCCAACAACATTCCATTATTAGCTAACATTTAGATAAATGTTTTTTTTTTTTTTATAATTTAGTTTTTTCTATGGACGGTGATTCAAAAAGCTGGAGGCTCTCGGACGGGTCTTCGGACCTGACAACTGGGACTTTAACGCAAGTTTTAAGTGCTTTGGTTGGCAGCCATGGGACACACTGTGGCTTGTTAATAAATTGAGAGAATAAAGTTTTATTTATGGCTCTTTTATGCCAGATACATATTTTTTAAAATGTTCCTAATCTTTATTGAACTTCGCATTGAATGAAACTGTGCTGTACTGCTTTGGGTATCTCAAAGAGAACAGAGTATGTTTTCCCCATGGACTGCACCTGAATCCTTTTTAGACTCTTCCTGAGTTTGGTTTACCATAAAAAGTTTCATAGATACAGAAAAACCCAGGTATTGAGTAAAAAGGCACAAACACTACTGCTTTCCCAAAGAAAGCTGGTAAGAACACAGTACTATACTGAGTCTTTCAGAGTCAATTGCTGTGCATTCATATTATAATGTGCAGAGTGAATATGCTTTGTTGCATTTTTTCAGGATAGCTTCAAGTGGGCTTTGATGCCAAGCATCAACTAGAACTGAAAGTTTAGCGTTCACACTGGTGGAAAATTCCTGAATGGATGCACTCAGCATTATCATTGTACATAGCCTACTTACACCCTAATGTTTGTCAAAAAAATTATTTTTTTGATCAGAGCAGCTTGCTCAGCGCATATGACTTTCAAGGCTATTAAACAAAGCTGACATAAATAAACAAACCAAAACTGACTGTAAATGCACAATTCTCTCTTTAATGCACTGATTCACAAGCGAGTGGCTTGGGGGAGGGGTGTATGAACGTGACCACGCCTTCATGTTTGGCCACACCCACTATGTTATTGCACTGCTGTAGATTCCAGTTTGATGCAGTTTTTGTCTTTTCATAGCTCTCCTGGACATCACGGTACAATACATTTGAACAATTCTAAGAAGCCATCTTTAAAACCTGAAAGCAGGAATAGGCTTTCTAGGAACAGTTTTATTGTATTAGATTTCTGCCAGAGCTGTGCACCCAATGACCCACTTTAGAAAGAAATAAGGTCACTGATGGCAAGATGCAGAACAGTCACTTTATCACGAGATTAACCAAAGGCTTGTTTGCTAAACAGAAAGGAATGAATGGAATGACTGAAGGCAGAAAATGCGATTTATTTTAAAATGTAGATTCGCTGCATACAGTAATCTCCAGATCCAGCCTTGAAAACCTAATTACTGTACATGTACATTAACGTTAAGGTAAGACCAAATGTGAGTTATTAAAATCAAGTTGCATTTATTTTTTATTAGTATTAGTAGGCTATTATTTGACAATGTTTTTTATTTTATTCAGGTAAAAACTATAATCGATAGCAATAAAAAAATACATTAATCCTGATTTCTGTTAAGTAATATTCAGTGCTGCTAATATAATTTCGTGATGATATTATTGTGTGAATCGTATAGAATAACATGATTCGGAACACAGGAGACGTTGCGTGTGACGTCAATTTGGCGCGAAACTGTGATCATCAGCGCTTAGTGATTTGACGCATTTTCGTATTTCAACGACGTTTGTTACTTTGTTACAACAAAAGCGCTCTTTTATCTCTTCTGGATAATATTTAGGCCAAATGAGAGACAGTCCTGCCCTGACATGTACCTGAAGATTTGTAAGAAGGTAAAGAGTAACTTGTGTCTTTTGTTTACTTCAGCTCAAACTAAACGTACCAAACTGAAACACCGAAGTCAATCATAACATTTAAAGAGACATTCATAAAATGAATATATATCACAAATAATGTTATATCATCTCAACTTTGGATGCTGATTATGACACTTGAAGAATCAGGAGAAAATTATGACACTCGGAAGAAGCCGGTTAGTTTACGGCCACTTTGTAGTCATTGATAAATGTACTAAAATATTTTATAATTTTTCTTTTTGTACTGGGAACAGAGTTGGATGAATTTGTTTAATTTTACACATATATAAACCGAGAGAAAACTTCTGAGAAATCTTCCTCGCATTTGTAGAATTACAAAAAACCTTATTAAACTTAAGTTGACTATATGAATGTACATTAATATGATGTTTATTTATATTATTATTTCTTTTTTTTCTGGGTGGCAACCATACAAAATTTATAAATTGATGTTTTCCCCCCTTATAAATTTTGCTTATTGCCTTTTTAGGAATATATTAATCTAGGGTATCTCTATTCCCCCAGTATTCATAAGAGTGGTCGTCCAATATGGGTTCAATAGTTAATTCTTCAATTATTACATTTGTTCCCTCCTGATCCTGAATATGTGCATTCAGCCTAGGATTATGCCTCAATATGAATTTCCTGCAGAGCAGCTTTACTGGGACCATCTTAATCTGTGAAGGGATTTATCTGCTTATGTCTCATTATCTAACCACGTCCAGACAACCGGAGCTGTTGCTTACCTTGTAATTGAGTTTTTGTCCTCTCGTCTTTCTTCTTCACTTCAATGAATCATTGCTTTCTGATGCCTTCTGGGGCTTTTTTTTTATTAGTTTGTCTTCAAAAGGTCAGGCGGTGTATCTGTTAAACATGACTTGTCCCAACTGTTGACTGTCACACTCAGCTGATAACAGCCTGCCCGTTTCCATGGTGATATTTAATTGTCTGACTGTCTAGACACCCGGTGACACCTGACACGGCGGGCCCAGGGGTCACGGTTGGCTGTGCGAGTCAAAAATCGAAGGCTCAGCTGCCCTCTGCATCTGCTGTAGGTCCACAGAGACATTAGCAAATACATCACAAAATGCAGGGGCCTGTTTAAATCACTGCTTCTTTTAATAATGTGAGGCCATTTGTCATCATTTTACTGAATGACATGGTTGTTCTTTTTTATTTGAATAGAAATTACTAAAAGCTTGAATAACTTGTTTAAATGAGGTTCACATAAAAATGAAAACTCTGCCATTGTTTACACACCGTTGTGTTGTTCTACACCTGTATCAGTGTTATATTAGTATTATTTATATACTATTATAGTATTGGTATTTTTCAATTAGATTTTATTTTTGTTTTCAATTTTAGTTTGAATAATTTTATGAGCTTTTGTAACTTATTATTATTGTTTTTAAATATTTCTAAATAACTTGTAATTATTTTTCTGTTTAGTTTTAGTCATTTTAGTACTTCAACCAAGGCAACATTTCTCATTTTTAAGTTTACATTTTACATCTATTATTTATATTTTAGATTATTTCAGCCTTGTTTCAGGTTTATTATACCGAAAA